CTGTGGCCTCATCGGGGAGCGAGGCCGCCGGTAGGACCAAGAGGCCTCACGGAGGAAGTTCTATCAGCCGCCTCGTTAGCGCAGTAGGTAGCGCGTCAGTCTCATAATCTGAAGGTCGTGAGTTCGATCCTCACACGGGGCAAAGGCGGGCAGCTCTTTTGCTCTCGCCCGCGCTTTTAGCGGTGACAAACTCGCTCGACACCGCGACCCGAGCCGGCCCGTGACTCCCAAGCCGTGCTCGTCGTGATTTCCGAAGCGGCGGTTCCAGGTCAGGGGCCTGGCCCTGCCGGGCTGGGCCATGGGAGTAACGTCTGCGGTTGTTCTCGCTCTTGGCAGCCCCTGGGCTGTGTGGGAGCCCTGCAGGGCTGTGGGCACCGGCAATGGCTCCTGCGGTGGGCAGCGGGCACACCCGGGGTCGGGCTGTGGGCAGGGCCCAGGAGCTGCTGTGGGGACACGGCCGGACACCGGCCCTGCCTGCGGGAAACGCTCCGGTTTATACACATTTACAAACCATAGGCACATACACACATAGCCCATAGTGCAGCCCAAAACCTCAGTGGGTTTATTATTTCCCTTTAACTGTAAGAAATAATTATATGTAAACTCCAAGAAAATAATCAGAAAAAGACAATTTTTCTCATCTACTCCCTCTTCCTCTGAGATGATCCTGGCTTGTTGCATTTTTCTCCCTTTGAAAAGGAATGAGGCCTCTTCTCCACACTCTGCTGAGGGCTGCAATGAGATTTCTAGAGATTCTGGTTGCTGCTAATGTGACTCTTTCTACTTCCAGATGCAGAGGGTGTTAAGGCAAGGAAAACCAGGTAGAGCTTTGTGCTTTTAGGTCTTCATGTAATTTAACGAGCAGGAGAGAGGCTGTTCCCCGCCCCAGGTGACAAAAAGCTGCAGGTCAGAGGAATCATCCTGGGTTTGCCCAGTGCCTCAGCCCCAGGGCCAGCAGGAGCATTCTGCTCCCATACTGATGCTCCAAAAAGCATCAGCAAAACCCCAGGGGAAGCAGAACAAATTAAGATCCCAGTCCTCATATTTTTACAGGGCCAAGTCTACGCCTGTATCAGCATGGTGCGTAGCAACTATGGATGATTCACTCTAATTTACTTTGCCCTATTCCCTTTTACTGTAACACCACGCAATGTTCTTGACTTGGGTCAAAAGCATTAGCCATCAGTACCACAAGCACTATGAAGAGCACGGTATTTGTTTAGATTCTCTCTCCCATTCTTTCTCATGGAATGAACTTGCTAATATGTGTAACCACTGCATGCATCTCCAGCAGCAGGTGCTCCACATCCACTCTGGGCCTTGGTTTCAGTGTTTGGCCCTCGCTGGAAAGGATTATTTTCTCTGATTGCAGATTTCCCTGCTGCAACTTGTAGAATCCACTTTCACATCACTGACAAAACCAACATTTCAACAGTGGTTTGTTTCTTCAAGTCAGGGCAGCCACCAAAACAAAAAGAAATATACAAATACTGCACATTCAGTAACTTAATGGTAAAAAATTAGTTTATTTTAGAAGTAAAAAATAACAACAAGGTTACAAACAAAAGACATATTTTCTAGCTAGGATTTTATTCTTATATAAAAATATTTCCAAAAGCCTTTAATAAGTCTATGATCCATCTTGAATCACACTATACACACTATACATATTTAGCTTTTCACTGATTAATAATTTGAAGGTGCAGCTGAAGGTGCAGTGCAAGTCCCCTCAGGGCGAGCAGGCCGTGGCTGGGGCAGGGGCTGCCCGGAGGCCGGCCCGGGCCCGTGAGGCGATCCTGCGTCTGAGGCGCCGCACCTCGGCCATCAGCTCCCGCTCCCGGCGCGCCAGCTCGGCCCGGCTCCTGCCTGAGGACAAACAAGGGCAACAAACTTACCACTGCAACTGCTGCTTTCCCATAAGCACTACAAACACCTGCTGCAAAACAGACATGTCTGGCAGAGAAATGCTGGCTTTCAGTACCCCTGGATGTGAGGCAGCCCTCAGAGTGGTGAGAGCAAGTTCTGTGAGAGCAGTGCCTCTGCTGGCGACCAGGTCAGATGCTAATGGGGGCCACAGCAGGTCCAGAGGATCCTACTGCCTGCAGACCTTTGAACACAAGGTGCATTGGAATTGAAACTGCTTCCACTGCCAGATTAGCTGGGACCAGAGACCAGAGGAAATTAGACTAATTCTTGACTAAAACTCCCAGTCAGATTTTGATGAAAGACAGCTCTACAGCCTCTCAACATTCCCAAATCACAAAGAGCTATGAAGACAGGAAAAGCATGGGCAAGATGATCAGGTCAGAATGCAACTAAATTAGGCTGAGGTTTACTAGGACCACTCTCATAACATGACACACTTCAGGCACTTCTTACCTACGCCATCCCTGGGAGCAAAGACATTTTCTGCAGGTGAAAGAGAACACAACAATAAACTGGTTTTACTATCCACTAAACACCTACACAGCTAATGGCTCAATCACACAGCTGGGTGTTCCAGCAATGCTCTGAAACCAAATGTGAAAGACACTCCTAACTTAAACACTTACTGCGTAGTGATGATGCTAATGTAGACAGATCACTGGGAGAGATGTTTCCAGACCCTGGCACTTGCTGGACTTCCACCCCTCTCTCTGTACACCTGGCCTTTAAGTCATGCAGTCTCTCTGTGAGAAATGGAAAGAAGGGTTCTTTGTAAATTAAAAATACTGACATTTCAAGTGAAGTTTTCTAGCTGGAGGTAAAACAGTTTTTCTCCAGTAAGCAAAGCTAGAACAATCACCCACTCCAGTTAATGGCAAGTACAATTTGCTCAGAATTAGAGGTCAATGTTTCTACTCTTTGGGTCAAAGCTATGCATCACAGCATTTCATTTTAAGGAATTACAGGTCTGTAATTTCATTAATTTCTTAAAATTCCCTTCAAGAAATTACAGCTCTTTAAGAAATTACAAGTGCTGTTTCTTCCTATATAATTAATCTTCTGACAAACAGGCCACTAAGATCATATGGAATATGGCTACTCATGCTTGTAGTTTTAGGAGCCACCCATTTTAATTATGAACAGTTGCAAAATACTTCATACTAAGACATTAAGTAAATAAGGACAAAGGCTGAAAAAGTTTGCCCAAAGCAATACTAATCACCTAACCCTAATATTAATCACTAATTTTATGTAAGCCTTGGTAGCATGGTGGGGGGTAGGAGAAATACCTGCAAAAATACACAAATGCAGCACTTGAGAAGGATGTACTGACCAATTCTGGAAGCACATAAATGT